AGGTGTGGGAAGTAACATCAGGCAGATCATTGCCTTCCATCTTCAAGTTTCCTTTGTGCCAGGGTTTCTCACTAAGACAGTTTTGTGGACAAGACGTCCTCGCCATTCCAGTTCTTAGTGTACGTGAGTCCGTTTGGAGTTGTATCCACGTACTAATTTGGTTTGTTTTTTTCTTTTAGAAACCCAAACCAAATTCTTTTTGGTGGGGAGGTGTTACGGACCCGAGTCCAGCGTCCTAGCACGGAGCGGTGACGACAACGCCATCTGTGGGTCAGCTCCCGAAACCCCCTCCAAATGGACGACGCCATCTAGTGAGGACGGGATATACCGGCCACAGGGGCTGGATTCCCGTCTTAATCAGCTCGTAACATAGCCGCTGCTGACCTCTGGTGAGGTGGCGCTTAGACAGCAACGCCATCTATGGAGTGGATAGGTGGACGTTAGTGTCTAAGCCTGTAAGCGAGGTGCCCTAGAGTGTCTCCAACACTAATGACGTGTCTGATTACAGAGTCGACCTGGGACTGCTGAATTGGACGATGGGGCAGTCTACCCAAGGCAGCCATAGTCTCTCCACGTGTTTGCTGCAGAAGCTGTGAGTCACCCCCGGACGTACACTGTTGAGTGTGTTAGCCTGCCTGTGACGTGGCAGTACCAGGGATCGTCTTATCTGGGGGCTGGCTGGTGGAAGAGACTAGCCACTGTGGTGCTATAGAGAGGAGAGTGATCAGCGGGAGCACACGAGGCTCCTGCCTAGGGCGGGCAACCCTAGTATCGGTCGTGGAGTGGCCTACACAGCGGAGCTGATTGGAACCTGCCAGCTACAGGCTGGATTTGTGGTTGAAGACCTCCACGACGGTGCACCCAGTGGGACTGATTTGGCTGGCCTGTGGCCGGGGTAGATTCGCAGAAAGAATCAGAGGATTCATCGAGGGCCACGACGAAGAGAACCAGGGCTACTCATTGTGAGCACCGTGGAGCATCCCGTGTCTTCAGAGGAAGACGATTCTGTACATTGTGTATTTATACCCCCTGTGTGACAGTTTATATATTTATTTATGGTGGTGGTGATTATATATATATATCTGAGCATTTGTATCCCTTCCCCTTTAATTTACTTGCGTTACGGAACACACCCCTTGAAAGCCACTACTAAGTTGGGGCCGGATACCTAAACTCTAATAATATCAGAGAAGAACCCAGTTGCGACCCAATAGGGCCGTAACATGTTCTAATACAAGCTCCCACCTTGGGAAAAATTAAACAGTCTATTGAACTCCTCGGAAGGAAATTTATTGAGCTCGGTTTCATTCTCTCCACAAACAAGACAAAAGCATACTCTCATCACAAGCGGGGAGAAAATGAAGAACTACAAATTAATGGTATAACACTTGAATGGGTTGACCACTCTCGGTACCTTGGCGTCACTGTCGGCTCTAACAAGGGGAAGAAAAAGGAGCTCAACCAACTCACAGGAACATGCAAAAGTCGACTCAGGGCACTGAAAGCCATGACCTGGAATGGGCATGGAGCCTCTATTGCCATGCTAAAAATGATGTACACAGCCTATGTGCGCTCAGTCACAGACTTTGCAGCACCAGTTTTATGCACCTACTCCCAAAGCGATATGAAAAGGCTCGAAAGCATTCAGAATGAAGCAAAGACAATCATTCTTGGAGTCCCAAGAACTGCCAAAACATCTAATCTACAAAAGGAGTTGTCCCTCCCCAATGTTAAAAGCAGAATTAAGGAGCTGAATGCTAAGCTAGCAATTAGGATAGCCAGAGATCCCCATTACAATGATATTGCTAAGAAAAAACTGAGTTCTGTGCTACTTTTAAGGGGAAACAGGAGAAGCAAAAAATGGCATCACAGAGCAGTCTGCTACCTTGAAGAGCTTCACCTGCTTGAACAAGCCCGTGAGCTCATACCTGTAGAGAGGTTACCTCCCTAGGAGGATGACTCATGCAAGATTATCATCAATGAAATGGCAATGAAAAAATCCAGCATGATAGCACAAGAAATGAGGCACAAGTATCTCGAGGAAATTTATAAAGAAGCCGGAGATGAACTAGATCAAATCTACACTGACCGGTCATCTAATCCTGTCAATGGCAGGGCTGGTGCAGCATACACTGTAATTAAGGATAATGCTTTCCAACGCAGAAATGAAGAAAAAGCGCGTATTGAGAACTATGCCTCTTCAACGCAAGCAGAGCTAACTGCCATTGCTATGGCGTTAAGGTTTCTTGAACGGAACACTAATGTTGCAGTGATTTGCACCGATTCAAAAGCAGCACTTCAAAGCCTAAGTAAAAATAGGGCAGAAAATCTTGCAATAGTCGCTGAAATTAAGAGAGCTGTGAGAGTTGTGACGATAATCTCTTTCAAGAGAGATTGAGCCTGCTCTTCCCTACTTTAAGTTACGTCCCAAGACACAAGTAAGATGCTACATTCAAGATACGTCACCAGTAGCACAAAACGTTTTGACCAGGAGGCAAAACGTATCCAAGATCCCCCTACTCCACACACCCTCCACGCGCCGGCTCGTCATCAAACGAGCTAACTACCCTTCACCAGCTTGCCTTCCTCTGATTGGCGACTCGCCAGCCGCGCACCTGCACCTAGCACCTCAGCGCCCTCTACACGAATCGACGTCTGAGCCTGACCAGCTATCCACTTCAGAATATTCCTTGTGCTCTTACGGATGACATCTCTCTCTGGCATACTAGCTCATTAGCTCGTATACGAAGGAAGATTTCAGCCATAGCCGATATTCTCAGCACCATTTTAACATTGTAATTTTGTATTTCACATTGTCTTTACATTTTCTTTATTATTTAACTGTAATTTAACTTCCCGAGATTTGTCTTTATTTTCATTTATGTTTAAAGTAAATATATTAGAGTTTCATTGTTCATATTTTGTGTTTTACGTGTTCCTCCCTCTAACTTATCACAGACAACAGGCAAGCAGTCTATATTTTTGTTTAAAGTGTGACCAGGCTTTGACACCCGCCATTGGAGGACTGCCGAACATCAACACTCCAACACTTCCCGTCATAGAGTACTTACCAATCAGGGAAGAGTCAAGTTTCTGTGGATCCCCTCCCATGTTGGAATATGTGGGAATGAACGAGCAGATGTGCTGGCTGCCGAAGGCACAGGTGGCCATATTTAATATTTCATACCCAAGACTCTACTACAAATTAGAGGTATTGTCAGGCAACATCACCATGACAAGGTAACTGAGGAAAGGAGGATAGAAGCACAAACCAGTGAATCTGTACGATGGTACAACATGGTTGCAGCTGGCAATCCCAATCATTATGGACGAAAAGGAGGAGGAGGACGCGGGAGAGAATCAGTAATAGCGAGAATCCGTCTTGGATACAAATATCCATGGAAATACGGAATGGAAACGACTGTTGATCAGCGAATTTACAGAATTTGTGATGAGAGTGACGGACACCGCCTTGACCACTATCTACGTGAATGTGAACACCTGAGAGACATTAGAGGTATGTGTAGAATAATAAACCCCACATTGTTTGAATTAGGAAAACACTATTTGTCAAATATTGATACTGTTCTTAAAAGATTTCCCCATTTTGCACCCTCAAGATAACTGTTGATCAGCGAATAACGTAAGCTTTTACGGGTTGACAGATGTTAATTTTCTTGTTTGAGGAGCTGTTCACTTGAGACAGTTAAGCAAGTTCCAGCTGTGTCTGGGTACAAGTGACAGGATGAACAACCCAGCAGGTTTTCTTCCTTTTGGGGAGTGTTGTACATGCTGTTATGGCGGTATGTCCACTCACAAGATGAGTGGCGCTGCCCAATAAACTCGCCCCTCGGGGCAAAATTTAAAAAAAAATTATGTTACATATCAACGTGAATATTTTGTCACCAAATTATTGCTTAATCTATTTTATTCTTTTTCATTTGATCAGTAAATGGGTTAGTTCAGTTCACTTACTATACATCACTGTTACGAGCGTCGTCATGAGACCGTCTTCCTGCTCTCAAGAGTCGTACATTACTCTTCATAAACATGTCAGACGGCCCACGGCAACTTTGAGTTAAAGTTATATATAGATAGGGTGTATATTTACTGTGCAATTTTTAAGTTTGATCATTTTGGGGGATATCTTATTCGGTATGATTTCGAAAATAACGACAAGTAATGTCCTCCCTTCCTGGTAGAGATTTCGCGCCACCAGGACGGGGCCAGGCTCAGAGGGTCCCGGATATTGGCGTGAACACTGATTGGTCAAGTTTTGTATCGACCCACCAATCGGGTCACGTGTCTCCCATAGGAAAACTGCGAGGTTATTCATTGGCCCCGGAGGCGCCAGTGTCGACCACGAACTGGTTGAGTACGGTGCAGTGTATGGTGAAGTGTTGTTAATTTTGCTAAGAAAGTAGACATGTGATTAATCCATACTGTAAAAGAGGCGTCTGAGGGCTGGTGTTGCATAAGGACGCTGAGGCAGTGGCTTCAAAAGAAGATTTTTTCGCATATCCGAGACTGAGTGGCATATCAAGGACAGATTTATGTTTCACGAATCTGGACTTCTCTCACGAAGTGCCAGTTGTTGTGGAATAAATTTTCTCCTTATTCTAGTTGCAAGAAACCTGAGAGGAGTAAGGAGAAGAATTGTTATTCTCGTCTGTAAGCCCGAGGCTCTCGAGCAACAGACCTGGGCAAGTGGGCATCTAGCTGTTATGGAAGATAAGGAGTTAGAAGTGCACTTCTGATAAGGCGTCAGAAGTGCACAGTGCACTTCTGACGCTCTAGTGACACTGAACATTAAAGTGGAAGCCTATGATTGGTACCCACTGTATTTCTCCATTGAAGGGAGAAACGAAGAGTGACGCTTTGATTATGGCAGTTGCCACAAACTAGTATGCAGTAAAGGCAGGCCCTCACCCGGTTGTCATAGGCGTGTGGCACCGCGTATGGATCACCTAGAGGCTTAGAAATGAAGAAATAATTTAACAATGCCAAGAGGACATAAAAACGTGGGGAGCCAGAAAGACCCCCACGACCAGGACATCGCCGTCACGGTCAACTTAGCACTAAGGCTGGATGCCGGCTGTGGGTCACAAGGACACACCAGATGGTTATCATAGTTTCGTCTCATAAACATGGAGTTGGCAGTGCTTCCCCTTCCCCAACACCCCCACACACCCTCTCTTTTATTAAAGAAATATGGACTCTCCGATATTCACTCCGTATATCGCTGTGAATATCATCCTTACTACCGTATTGTAACCACATTAATATTGTGAAGGGAGTGATAGTACTGGATAGGCAATACTTATAACTTTGAAGAGAGATGAAACAATAAACTTAAGCACTTTCGTATAGATCAACACATCTTCTCAAGAACAAACAAAGCAATGCTCTGTGAGATATATTTACAGGAAGGTGACGGGTGAGGTAAAAAATATATATCTTTGAAATACTGGTTCATGATCACAAGAGGAAACTACAAGAGGCCTATTGGCTAATAGGTGTGACTCCTACAAGTGGTGTCCCTATATGAATAAGAGGTTCCAATCCTGTTACTAGGATTGCTTTTAATTAATCCATTAAAATGGGGATCAGTGTGTAGACTATTACTAACTACTCTCCACGACTCACCCTCCACGCCTCACCCTCCACGCCTCACTCTCCACGCCTCACCCTCCACGCCTCACCCTCCACGCCTCACTCTCCACGCCTCACTCTCCACGCCTCACCCTCCACGCCTCACTCTCCACGCCTCACCCTCCACGCCTCACTCTCCACGCCTCACCCTCCACGCCTCACCCTCCACGCCTCACTCTCCACGCCTCACTCTCCACGCCTCACTCTCCACGCCTCACTCTCCACGCCTCACCCTCCACGCCTCACTCTCCACGCCTCACTCTCCACGCCTCACTCTCCACGCCTCACTCTCCACGCCTCACCCTCCACGCCTCACTCTCCACGCCTCACCCTCCACGCCTCACTCTCCACGCCTCACCCCCCACGCCTCACGCCCCCCCACGCCTCACCCCCCACGCCTCACCCCCCACGCCTCCTCGCCTCTCCACGCCTCTGGGATGCAGAGCTCCACGCCTCACCCTCCACGCCTCACTCTCCACGCCCACGCCTCACTCTCCACGCCTCACCCTCCACGCCTCACTCTCCACGCCTCACCCTCCACGCCTCACTCTCCACGCCTCACCCCCCACGCCTCACGCCCCCCCACGCCTCACCCCCCACGCCTCACCCCCCACGCCTCACCCTCCACGCCTCACTCTCCACGCCTCACTATGCCCCTTGTGCTTACCGTGGGGAGCTGGGATGCAGAGCTGGCCTCGTGGTCCACCTCCTCCCTCGACTGAAAGACAGCGTTCAGTTCATCACCTTTCACTAGTGAACCTCACTGGACATAAGAAGGCTATATTCACACGAATTAAGAATAGGAAAATCTGCTAGGAACAACTAATTTTCAAAGTATAAATATGAAAAAGAGGAAGGAAATGCTTTGAGAAATTATGAAGTACAAAAGTAGCAGAATGGGCAGAGGCACCCTTTAAATTATTTTATTTTTGTGTCAAAATATATGAGAAAATTAATCGAGTGAAGACAATCCCATTGAAAACTTAAACAGTTTAGGCATGACAAGGAAATGTATGGTATTATAAGTAAATACTTTATCTATTTACTTGAGAAGTACTTGATATCATGCTTCCAGCTGAATAAATCTATATAGGTGGAAAGAGGACAGGTTGAATAGTTTAGTGGTTACTAGGGAGAACGTTGTTGAATAAATAGAGGAAATTTGTAACTCAAACAAGTCCCTAGGACTTGGGTTCTTAAAGAATATAAAGGAGAGATTAGTGAGCCCATTGTGTTGAATGTTTAATAAATCCTTAGAAACGAGCAGAGAGCCAGTATCGTGGAGGGTTGTATATGTGGTGCCAGTTTTAAAGGGAGATAGATCACTGGCGTAACGTCCAATTAGTTTAACGATTGTTGTATGAGAATTATTTGAATCAATAGTTCCCAAAATGAATCAATAATCATTTACATCGTGAAAATCATAGATTAGTCAAGAATTCGCAACGTCGCCTTACTTACATATTGCCACTCATCTGTTAACTAATTCAATCATCCTTTACCAGAAAATGTCAAGCAATTGATAGCGGGAAGATCGAGACATTATATATCTTGACATTAGCATACCCTGTACCTCATGAGAGTACAGCTCATTAACAAGGAACATGGTACGAAAAAGAGTTATGTAATATTATATTAGCTCTTGGTTATTTCAAAGGAAGTTAACATTGATGGAATAGAGTCGGAGTGGGAAACCATTGTAAGTAGAGTGTTCGAGGCACACTCTTGGGGCCGCTGTTGTTCGCCACGTACATAAATGGTTTTAGAGGAAGGACTAAAGAACAATATCATAAACTACATCATCATCAAATTTCCAGATTACATAATGATAAATGGTAAAGTGTGATATGAAAATCATATCGTGGCCTTACAAATAAATCTACATAAACTCCGTAAATTGTCAGAATTTACAAAATTGACAATGTTTGTTTTGAATATCGAAAAATGCAAGACTTTGAATATGGGGCATAAGAACCCACGTCACGACTATCAAAGTAACAGCATTACCTTGTGGCAGATTGATGAAAAAATGAATCTTGGAGTTAAAATCCACCACTCGCTGAACGTTATACAATAACCAGGAGCAACAGTAAAAAAAAATTGAAATAATCAAGCGCACCTTTGACATTAAAGAAAAGATGGAAGGTATTCGCCTGCATAAATAATCTCTGGTTCCCATTTGGATTACTGTGTCCAAGCATGGAGACCTCATAGCCTGAATGACATAGCTACTTCAGAAGGATGTACCTGTGGCAGCTGGCAACCCACACACACACACCACCTGCGGCAGCTGGCTACCCACACACACACACCACCTGCGGCAGCTGGCTACCCACACACACACACCACCTGAGGCAGCTGGCTTCCTACACACACACACCATCTACGGCATCTGGCTAACCACACACACACACCATCTGCGGCAGCTGGCTACCCACACAACACACCTCCTGCGGCAGCTGGCTAACACACACACACATACCACCAGCGGCAGCTGGCTACCCACACACACACCACCTGCGGCAGCTGGCTACCCACACACACACCACCTGCGGCAGCTGGCTACCCACACACACACACACCATCTGCGGCAGCTGGCTACCCACACACACACACCACCTGCCGCAGCTGGCTATCCACACACACCATCTGCGGCAGCTGGCTACCCACACACATACACCATTTGCGGCAGCTGGCTACCCACAAACACACACCATCTGCGGCAGCTGGCTACCCACACACACACACACCACCTGCGGCAGCTGGCTACCCACACACACCACCTGCGGCAGCTGGTTACCCACACACACACACCGCCTGCGGCAGCTGGCTACCCACACACACACCATCTGCGGCAGCTGGCTAACCACACACACACCATCTGCGGCAGCTGGCAACCCACACACACACACCACCTGCGGCAGCTGGCTACCACACACACACACCACCAGCGGCAGCTGGCTACCCACACACACACCACCAGCGGCAGCTGGCTACCCACACACACACAACCTACGGCAGCTGGCTACCCACACACACCACCTCCGGCAGCTGGCTACCCACACACACACACCACCTGCGGCAGCTGGCTACCCACACACACACACCACCTGCGGCAGCTGGCTACCCACACACACACACACACACACACCACCTGCGGCAGCTGGCTACCCACACACACACCACCTGCGGCAGCTGGCAACCCACACACACAACCTGCGGCAGCTGGCAACCCACACACACAACCTGCGGCAGCTGGCTCCCCACACACACACACCACCTGCGGCAGCTGGCTACCCACACACAACCTACGGCAACTGGCAACCCACACACACAACCTGCGGCAGCTGGCTACCCACACACACACACCACCTGCGGCAGCTGGCTACCCACACACACAACCTACGGCAGCTGGCAACCCACACACAAAACCTGCGGCAGCTGGCTACCCACACACACACACCACCTGCGGCAGATGGCTACCCACACACACACACCACCTGCGGCAGCTGGCTACCCACACACACACACCACCTGCGGCAGCTGGCTACCCACACACACACACCACCTGCGGCAGCTGGCTACCCACACACACACACCACCTGCCGCAGCTGGCTACCCACACACACACACCACCTGCGGCAGCTGGCTACCCACACACACACACACCATCTGCGGCAGCTGGCTACCCACACACACACACCACCTGCCGCAGCTGGCTATCCACACACACCATCTGCGGCAGCTGGCTACCCACACACATACACCATTTGCGGCAGCTGGCTACCCACAAACACACACCATCTGCGGCAGCTGGCTACCCACACACACACACACCACCTGCGGCAGCTGGCTACCCACACACACCACCTGCGGCAGCTGGTTACCCACACACACACACCGCCTGCGGCAGCTGGCTACCCACACACACACCATCTGCGGCAGCTGGCTAACCACACACACACCATCTGCGGCAGCTGGCAACCCACACACACACACCACCTGCGGCAGCTGGCTACCACACACACACACCACCTGCGGCAGCTGGCTACCCACACACACACCACCTGCGGCAGCTGGCTACCCACACACACACAACCTACGGCAGCTGGCTACCCACACACACCACCTCCGGCAGCTGGCTACCCACACACACACACCACCTGCGGCAGCTGGCTACCCACACACACACACCACCTGCGGCAGCTGGCTACCCACACACACACACACACACCACCTGCGGCAGCTGGCTACCCACACACACACCACCTGCGGCAGCTGGCAACCCACACACACAACCTGCGGCAGCTGGCAACCCACACACACAACCTGCGGCAGCTGGCTCCCCACACACACACACCACCTGCGGCAGCTGGCTACCCACACACAACCTACGGCAAATGGCAACCCACACACACAACCTGCGGCAGCTGGCTACCCACACACACACACCACCTGCGGCAGCTGGCTACCCACACACACAACCTACGGCAGCTGGCAACCCACACACAAAACCTGGGGCAGCTGGCTACCCACACACACACACCACCTGCGGCAGATGGCTACCCACACACACACACCACCTGCGGCAGCTGGCTACCCACACACACACACCACCTGCGGCAGCTGGCTACCCACACACACACACCACCTGCGGCAGCTGGCTACCCACACACACACACCACCTGCGGCAGCTGGCTACCCACACACACACACCACCTGCGGCAGCTGGCTACCCACACACACAACCTACGGCAGCTGGCAACCCACACACAAAACCTGCGGCAGCTGGCTACCCACACACACACAAAACCTGCGGCAGCTGGCTACCCACACACACACACCACCTGCGGCAGCTGGCTACCCACACACACACACCACCTGCGGCAGCTGGCTACCCACACACACACACCACCTGCGGCAGCTGGCTACCCACACACACACCACCTGCGGCAGCTGGCTACCCACACACACACCACCTGCGGCAGCTGGCTACCCACACACACAACCTACGGCAGCTGGCAACCCACACACAAAACCTGCGGCAGCTGGCTACCCACACACACACACCACCTGCGGCAGCTGGCTACCCACACACACACACCACCTGCGGCAGCTGGCTACCCACAAACACACACACACACCACCTGCGGCAGCTGGCTACCCAAACACACACACACCACCTGCGACAGCTGGCTACCCACACACACACACACCACCTGCGGCAGCTGGCTGCCCACACACACACACCACCTGCGGCAGCTGGCTACCCACACACACACCACCTGCGGCAGCTGGCTACCCACACACACACAACCTGCGGCAGCTGGCTACACACACACACACCACCTGCGGCAGCTGGCTACCCACACACACACCACCTGCGGCAGCTAGCAACCCACACACACAACCTACGGCAGCTGGCTACCCACACACACCACCTCCGGCAGCTGGCTACCCACACACACACCACCTGCGGCAGCTGGCTACCCACACACACACACCACCTGCTGCAGCTGGCTACCCACACACACACACCACCTGCGGCAGCTGGCTACCCACACACATTACCTGCGGCAGCTGGCTACCCACACACACACACCACCTGCGGCAGCTGGCTACCCACACACACACCATCTGCGGCAGCTGGCTACCCACACACACACACCACCTGCGGCAGCTGGCTACTCCCACACAAACACACCACCTGCGGCAGCTGGCTACCCACACACACACCATCTGCGGCAGCTGGCTACCCACACACACACACCATCTGCGGCAGCTGGCTACCCACACACACACCATCTGCGGCAGCTGGCTACCCACACACACACACCACCTGCGGCAGCTGGCTACTCCCACACAAACACACCACCTGCGGCAGCTGGCTACCCACACACACACACCATCTGCGGCAGCTGGCTACCCACACACACACACCATCTGCGGCAGCTGGCTACCCACACACACACCACCTGCGACAGCTGGCTACCCACACACACACACACCACCTGCGGCAGCTGGCTACCCACACACACACCACCTGCGGCAGCTGGCTACACACACACACACCATCTGCGGCAGCTGGCAACCCATACACAAACACCACCTGCGGCAGCTGGCTACCCACACACACACACCACCTGCAGCAGCTGGCTACCCACACACACACACCATCTGCGGCAGCTGGCTACC